CTGCACTCAGTGTAAGGAATGCCCATCCTTCTTTATATGACTTTGGAACCATCAGATTTTTTAAAAAAAGAAAAGAAAGAAATTAAGACAATCTTAACTGTTTGGGTTTGACTGAACTCTGATAACACTTTCTCCTTTAAATAGTGTGTGTTCAAATTACTAACGCTGTGCTTCCTGTTTTAAAAAAGTTTAATCTTGCATTTAGAGCAGGGATCTTCAAACTTGGCCCTTTTATGACTTGTGGACTTCAACTCCCAGAATTCCTCAGCCAGGCACACTGACTGAGGAATTCTGGGAGTTGAAGTCCACAAGTCATAAAAGGGCCAAGTTTGAAGACCCCTGATTTAGAGGATGAGAATAAGGATCAGACACATGTGATGATTGTCATTCTATCACCAAGTCTAGAAGAAAGTTCTCTTGGCCATTATTAAGTACCTTCCTTTTTCTAGAAAGTTCACAACCAATCCCAACACAGCATGCCACATGTTAATAAGGATTCTATAATCCTTGAGAAAGCTCTGAGAGATCATTCATGTTCAGTCAGATTAGCTGCCATTGTGTATAGATGTCCTTTGAGATTTCCATTCATATCAACATATCTTTCATGGAATACATTCCGGATAGTGCTTTTCTTGTTTGAGCTTTTCTGATATTTTGGGATCTAATGCCCCCCCCACCCAGTTCTCTCAAATACATACAAATACCTGGGTTTTTACAGTGTATTTGACAAGCTTATGGATATAGCAATTCCACATCCAACAAAAGATGTGCAATATGCATGTAAGTGTTGTTATGGGCATGGATATGTATTCTTATTTTTGAATAGTATTAGAAAATTTACAGAAGGCTGAAAAGGAATACTGGATTTTAAATGTCCTTTGTCCTTTAAAACTCAGTGTATATAATATTAAAAACAATTAAGTCCCCTTCCTGTTAACTGAACATATTTATTTAAAAAAGATCAAATCTTAATTTAGAGGAACATCTAGCAAATATCCAATATTCTTCTTCTGAAATTAGGAAAATAATATTAATTTATTAAACTCATATGCCCAGCCGACTCTTAATGAAAAAATACAGTCTATTTATAAGGTACGTTAAGATGTACTGAAAATAGTCTGAAATAAATATTGGTGCTAATGCGTTTTTGGATTCTTAAAAAAAAATCTCAAAATCATTTGATTAAGGGTAAGCAAGTTTTAATTATTTTTGTGACCATATTGTTGTCATATGTGTTCCAAAATACAATTTGAAACAGATCCCTTCCTATTGCATATCCATAGGTGCCTTTTAATCATTTATGTAAATTGCCACAGCAAACTAGCCTCCAGATTTGATCTTTGGAGTTGATTCTAGATGAGAATGGTGGGGAAACCTCTCTGGGCTCTTTTCTTGAAATGGAAACCAAAAAGCCTCTCAAAAAGATGGGCCTTCCATGAGTAGACTTCCACTGGACAACAGCAGTTTTTCAGCCATCTAGTGGTCTTCCAGATTTTTTTCATCCAAGATGATAGTCCTAAGAAAGAAAACAGTCAGCAGAGGTTTTTTTTGGAATATTTATTATTCTTAGTCTGAAAAATGTAATGCTCAAGAGAAGACAGGTGAATGGTTACCAGGCCGGCCTCAGTTTTAGAGATCCCAAAAGTAGGGTTGCTAAACAAAGGGGGGGAACAGGGTTAGATCATGCTTGACTGAGTTTAGGCTGGCAAGCATAGCAGCCTCTTCTCCTGAGACAGATGCAATGTGTCAAGTTAAAAGAAAAATTAGTTATTGAAAGATGTGTAATATTTGAGACAAGCTCTATTCACAAGCGCAAACACAGACATATATAATAAGTATTTATTGTGTATTTTTTACTAAGTGCAATCATGTTGGGATATATACTATAAACATTATGCATGCATGTAATTGTGTATGGGAACACATGGGTGTATTCTAAGAAATTACTAAAGAGGGTGAAAGCCCATTTTATTAAAGACTGGAGTGAAGAATGCAGAACTGGGACTCATACTGTAGTTGTTCTTGTCAGAAATAACCATTTCAAATAAATATAACTTCAAATTTGAGTTTATAATGGAACACTGACTATTAGCTTTGGCACTGAAAATATCATTCTAATTTTGATTTTTTTTAAAAAAATGTAGATTCTGAAGCTGAGAATATAGCTGAAGCATATAAGGTTCCATGGGACAGAAGTAGTTCTGTGGTAAAGCTTATTGGCTCATATTGCAGTGTTTGCTTTTTCTTTTTTTACCCAGTAAAACAAACTGATGCCCTGTAGAGCCTCTGGCTTTGCTTTTGCTTTTCTTCCTCCGAGCACAGGTCCCATTATCACCCTCCATGGAGAAAATCTAAAGAACCTCACTCTACCAATTCAAGTGCAAATATTATCCATTCCTGGAGCATGGATAGGCATAGAACCAGCTCTGTAGGCCTGCTGCAGAACTAAAACCAAAAAGATGTGTCAAATGCATTCATTAACAATAACCTTTGTGAAAGAGTTTGGAAACCAATACCTTAATAGTAATAGCACTTAGAGTTACATACCACTATACAGTGTTTTACAGCCTTCTCCGAACGGTTTACAGTGTCAGCCTATTGCCCCCAACAATCTGGGTCCTCATTTTGCTGACCTCAGAAGGATGGAAGGCTGAGTCAACCTTGAGCCAGTCAGGATCGAATTCCTGGCTGTGGGTAGAGTTTGCCTGCAATACTGCATTCTAACCACTGCACCACTACAGCTAATGAAAAGGTGATTCAGTTGATTAAACTTTATTTAAAAAAAATATAGGATAGTATGCCATAGATCTATTCTTCTCCTAAGAATGTTTCTGAACTCCCATTTAACAAGCAGCTTATCTCAGTCAAATTCATTCAAAATAAGTATAAGAACAAGATGAAGGGGATTAAAAAGATATTCAGAAAAGATGCTGATTGGAGGCTTGATGAGAAACAGTTAGACTTGGTTTTTTTAAAAAGCAATTTTCAATGGGTCTCACAGGCAGTTGAGCCCAGAGGTTGCATTTTCCAATGGAGGGTTCCAATGGCTTCCAATGCTGGAGGATTTCAGCATTTGAGCAGCTGTGCTCTGAAGGTTTGTAACCATTAAAATTTTATTTTATTTATTTAAAACATTTATATAGCGCCCCTCTTTAAGACAACTCTGGGCGGCTCTCATTTATTAAAAATAAATGAGAAAATAGATTAAACAGGCTAGACATATGTAGAGTCTGGAGTAGGAAAATATGGTATTGTAAATATCACATTAAATGTTGAGTTTGATGAGGGATGAATATATTATAATTGTTTCTTAAATCATAAACCCCAAGCGTTCCATATTCTGTTTGTTTTAAGGTCTGGTTGCTTTTTTTTAATGGGTGTCTTTTTTCTCATTTTCTGTCATAATAGCTATTCCAGAGCAACAATATCCAAATAATCTAGAATTGGTCCACATCAATGACATTTTGACGAGGGGCATTCCCCAAATAATTTTTGTACCTGATTATATACAGTAATGTACCTAACTTAATCATAAATTACAAACCATGAATACACAATCAATCAGTTTTAAAGCAAGATAAATAAAATTGTATTTTTTTTTAAAAAAAAATCAACTTCTAGGGAATTATCACACACCAAACCCAAAAATAGGGGACATTCTCAGAAAATATTTACTCAGCAGAGTGCTAATGACTTCAGCTAGGTTTCTAAAAAGCAGCAGTTAAGGTGGGTTATCTTCTTTCTGCCAAAAACATGCTTAGCTTCTATTGATAAGAGTTTAATTTGGAAGCCTAAGGTCTATTCCTGTATTTGATCATGAAAGGCCTTCATGAGTGAATTGATGCTTCCAGAATGCTCAGCTATCACAAAATCCAAATAAATGCTGTTAATCTCCAGCAGCCCACTACTGATCTCTCCCCCACCCCAGTTTCTTCCTTTCTTTCTATGCCACACAATATATATATATATTCAGAATGCCATTTGTGGAATCAAAGAGCTCAACATTTTTCACTTTCTTTTCTTCCTGCGGGGAAAGGGCCAGTTTTTTTGACCTTGCTGAATTAAATTCTCCCAGATTCTGAGATCATGTAGGGTTGATTCCTGTAACATCATTTCCAATGCTTCAGGAATCCTCCATGGTCCCTTTCCATCCTCCACAATCCACTTTTTCCTCTCCCCTGCTCTTCTGAGAACAGCCGTAAAAAGACCCTACTAGATTTTAAAATACCAGTGGTAGTTTCAAAGACTGCGTTTGCTAGCTATTCTTCTCTTAGGGATGTTCAAAATATTGTTGTGTACAAAGCATTCCCAGCACTTTTGGCTGCCCTGCATTCAAACCAATACACAATTATTCAGTGCAGGCAGCCTTGAATTCAAGTGCAGCAGAACACACTTGCAAACACAAGTCCAAGGCAGAAAAAGTTTCAGGATGGAAATAATGAAAAAAAGGCTATTGGAAGAGGCAGCTAAGAGGAAGAAAAGAAACGAACGGCATTGAAAACATTACAGCAGGAGGGTGAATAGGGAACTACGGCCCCTTTACGACCTGCGGACTTTAACTCCCAGAATTCCTGGCTCAAGAATTCTGGGAGTTGAAGTCCACAGATCGTAAAGGGGCCATAGCTGCCCACATTTGTTTTTATTGCCTTGTCCGAGTGGTCTTAGCTTCCTTCTCCCACGCGGTGGCAGGCTCCCTCTATTGCAGTGTTTCTCAACCTTGAAAATTTTAAGGCATGTGGACTTCAACTCCCAGAATTCCAATGCTGGCTGTGGAATTCTGGGAGTTGAAGTCTACATGCCTTAAAATTTTCAAGGTTGAGAAACACTGCTCTATTGTGTATAGGAATTGGGCCAGCCTCCGACGCGGAGTCCAAAACTAGGCTAAAGGACAAGAAAAGCGAAGCCGCCCGGTCTGGGGAAAGGAAAGCGTCGCTCCCCGCTGGGCGGCAGGGGGCACTCGCGGACTCGGCCCGTGGGAGGGAGGCCGAACGGACAGCTTCGGAGGAGGGGTTTAAAGCGAGGGGAGGGGGGGTTTCGCCCTACGCCCGTCTCGGAGCCGAAGGTATGCGGAGGGACGGAGGAGGAAGAGGAGGGGGGGGAGTCTGGCCGGAAGCCCCTCTCTGGGGGGAAATGCAGCCTCGGTGGTCAGCCCAGGGAGGCGGTGGCGGCTGCAGCTGGCGCCAAGAGCAGATCGCCTCCTTCCTTGCCGCATTAGCGCCCGGCCTAGAGTGACACGGAAGATGGGGGGGGGGTGTATCCCCGCTTGCTCGGCGCTTACGGGACGATCCCGAGAGCTGGGAATTAAGCCGCTTTTTTGCCCACTTTTTTCTCTTGTAAAAATTAAGCATGGGTTTTGTAGTCTTGACCTGAAGACTACAAAACCCATGCCTGGAAGCCAGGGGGATGGGAGTCAATTGCACGCGTTCAAGTCAAAATTGACGGGCTGTTGCACGCCCGGAGTCTCTGCGTGGTAGATGGGCGGCTGTATAAATTTGTCTGCGTATTTATGCCTGTGTGTCTGTGATATATACGTAAGTATCTACACATGCATTTATAAGCACAGACACAAACGTATAAGCAATGAGTTGGGTGGCTCTCTTAAATTTGTTTTATGTGTATGTATATGTATACGTATTCATATACACATACATAAAAACGCAGGTATAAAACATGAGTTGGGTGGCTGTATAATTTTTGTATATATGCATGTGTAGGTGAGTGTGCACACATTATTATATGTTTTATGTGTGTACGTGCGTGCACACACCCTTAGTTAACTTTATGTTTGGTTAACTCTTGTGTATGCATTGCATTGTATACAATTGATCTTTCTGCTTCCTGTTGATTGGTAGATCATTGCTGATCTCTGGAAGCCACATTCATGATCTTTGGGGATGTCATCAATAAGTCTTGCCTGTATATAAGGGTTTTGGGGCTCCATAGAAACGATCCAACTGCATTTCTAAGAATAGGATCCAGCCCTCATGAAAGTGGCTATCAAGTTCATATCAAGAATATTCCCCAAAGATAAAACCATACAGTAGAAGAAGCAATCAGTACAAGTGTATGTCAGTCTCATATAGTTGCCTGAAATATGAGATGTCTGGTTTGTGCCCAGTACAGAAATGACAAATAGAGTATTTGGGCTTAACTTGTAATTAGTAAATCAAGAATCAATCATGACTTATTGACTAAACAATAATTGGCTGAGTTTGCACAGCACATTAAGGGTGTCCAAATGATCAGCAGCACTGAAGCTATTGGGATTAGCCATGCAATAAATGCTGTGGAAAATAAATAGGGCAGCCATCAGGTGTCAATCAAAACCTTTTAACCTCCTGGCTTGTTACAGGGTCTCCTGTTCGCTACACCTTAACATTGAAGGTCTTGCCACCTCTAGTTGTTAGCACTGAGAATCAGTGTTTCTTGGACCTCTGAAAGGAGCTTGCCAACCCCATCTCTGAAGAGCATTCATTGATTTTGCCATAGGTAGCAAAATACAGAGGGATGTACTATGGCCACTCTCATTATATAACAGTGGAAACCTGCAGGTATAAGACTCCCAGCATCCCTTATATTCCAGGCTTGGAATCAGATATGCTAAAATCAAAGTGAAAAGAAATGGCAAAGGGAAAAATGTTATTTATCTTGAAGAAGGGATGCCATGTCTATTTAAATATCAATACCCTTGCATTATTCCTTAATTATAATGTACTACAATTACATGTGCATTTAACTTTATTTATAAAATTTATATGCTGCCCATCTCACTACTGAAGCGACTCTGGGCGGCTTACACAATGATATGTAGAAACCCAAACTATCCAATTTTATATGTATTGCTTTGGTCCAAGAGAAAAACTAAGTCATCAGAAAGAACCTAGGAAATTATTTTTCCCTACTGGGAAAAAGAGCAATTTGATCCCAAATAGTTATCCAGATACTGGATTCAATCTTACTAACACCAGCTTTGTGACATAATCACATGCGATCTGGAATAAGTCCTGAGGACTAAATCCAAAAGGGCAAAAGAGGTTTATGGACCTTTTTGAGCATCAAATAATAATTTTGCCTGGACCTAGGCTGAATGCACTCCCAAGTACTGCAGGCAGTGCCCTTTGGGTATAAAGCAGACGTGCCCAATCCACAGGCAGTGTGCAATCTCATAAGACACACATCCCTCCAAATAAAGGAAGTTTGTTATTTATGAACATTAACTATATTTTATACTAGCTGTACCCAGCCACGCGTCGCTGTGGCTCAGTCTGGTTAAATGGAAAAGAAAGAAAAGAGAAAGCGCACATTTGTGTCACAGGTGTGACATCTATATTAATAGTAGGTATATAAAAACACGCGCATATTCGAATGCAACATTGTGTCAAAATTTCAAAGCAATCGGTGAAGAACATTCGGAGATTTAAGATTTTGAACAAACGAACATTTACATTTTTATTTATATAGATGTAGCCCAAGAAAATTCCTCTTCACTCAATGCGGCCCAGGCAAGCCAAAATGTTGGACATGCCCAATATAAAGGAATTCTTGGAGGGCCGGTAGTATGAGAGCTTCGCATGTTTAGCCAGAGCACGAGAGCTGGCATTAAGCCAGGAAAGGATGTCCCATCTTTCATTGCAAAACTGGGCACAGAGTAAGGCTATCTATTTACAGTCCTCTAATCCTTACACAAACCAGTGAGTTAATTAATACATCCCACAACTCTGGTCGGTTTTCTCAGAAGATCTGGTTTCAGTTTTACTGCTGGGTGATTGTTAGGGCATTCCTAAAATCTTTCTCTGGTTTTCTCCCTGTTGAGTTTGATTCCTGGTAACTACATTGCCGCATTCACATTGTTTTGTTGGTAACTGTGTGAATTCCCATCACCTTCTTCCTGCTTTTTCTTTTAAAAAAAAAAAAAAAAATCCAATCTAGCCTTGGGAAATACTAAATGTATTTAGTTCTGACCTTTCTGAGATAGCCATAGTTAATTACAGGTTGCTTCTTGCTGTGACACAATCATCTTCTCCTCCCTCCTCTTAAATATAGTTTTACCACATTCATTTTGCTGTTCTGTTTTGTTCTCCAGACTTTTCACCATGAGTGTGGATTGGATTGGCTTTGGTTATGGGTTGGTCGTGGCTCTTGGCGGTATCATAGGATATATTCGCAAAGGTAATAGCGGACTTGTACGATAGAGAAAGTTATGTAATTGTTTTCTGCTGTTTCTTCTGTATTTTCTCAAATATTTTTGTTAAGTTCCATGTTTTGCAATATGTTACAGCTCATAAGATAAGAGGAATGTGTGTAAAAAGATTAAGATATTAAGACTAAATCTGGATACTACTAAACCTCTTGTGTCTGTTTGATACTTTGTAACCTTCAATTGAGTGAAATGGTGCATCATAAGATCAGGGGTCTTCAAACTCGGCCCTTTTATGACTCATGGACTTCAACTCCCAGAATTCCTCAGCCAGGCACACTGGGTGAGGAATTCTGGGAGTTGAAGTCCATGAGTCATAAAAGGGCCGAGTTTGAAGTCCCCTGTCATAGAGCAACAATTTTTAAATCAATGTATCTCAAGTGGACTAATTTATAGAATACATTAAAAATTGGGAATCCATGTGTGCCATGGGATTGAAATTTGCCAGAGTTGTGGCTGCTTCAGTGGCACCATGCCTTCAAACTACATTTCCCAGTAATACGTAGGCTGCATGACACAAGGGAGAATGAGTACCCTCACTCTCTTTCCCGCCTCTCTCTGGCCCCTGCTCCCGGTTGACTGGTAGCAAGGCCCAACAGGTAAGCAACCATTGGCTGCTTTGGAACCAACTGAAAGTTGAAATCTCTTAATGGTGGTAAGCAGTAAGGGGAGAAAGAGGGAGTAACTTGGATGCCTGCTGGCAAGGTAGGGCTGGCTTGGGGGATACTGGCCATCCCCCAAGCCATTTTTTTTCCTGGAAGGAGGAGGCCTTTGGGGAATAAAATATTGTTTCAGACATCTGTTTCTGGGATGTTAAAGGCCAGGTGAGGAGAAGTAGATTCCTTTTTCTCTTTTTGTCACTGCAAAACAGAAAAATGTATTTGACACCAATTTCTAAAACTTTCCCCATCCCAAACCATTCCATTCATCATATTTTAATACGTTCTTGGTGCAACTGTGTTATTTTTCCACTGAAAACTAATAGTACCTAATTCTTTCCTCTCACTGACAGAGTGGCTTTATTATTATTATTATTATTATTATTATTATTATTATTATTATTATTATTATTATTATTATTATTATTATTATTTGGATTTATATCCCGCCCTTCTCCTCGTAGGACTCAGGGCGGCTATCAGGAGAATTGGAATAAATTTGGAAAGAAACAGAAAGACATGGTGGGAGAAACATGTGGCATGCAGTATTAGATTACAGAAATGCCATTTGCATATTAGATTGGCTGAAAGGTGCATATTTACTCTACCTCTGCTGAACACCTAATTCCCACAGCACAGTGTTAGATCTAAAGATATTTACCCATGTAGTAGGGCTTTATTACTATTATCCTTCTCATCTTTCATTTTACCTTCTACTATTGGTATCTTATGATTATATTACTTTGTTATTTGTATGTATACTGAGAGCTTCTGCACTGGAGACAAATTCATTATGGGTCCAATTACACTTGCCAGTCAAGAATATTCTATTCTATTCTTCTGTAAATCTGAAAATATCCTACTTGAATCTCCGTGGAGCAGATATCAAAGAATGGTAGAACTTTGGGACAGAATGGGGGCACAGACTCCTGATCAGATACTGTTCTGAAGAACATTAAGAAATAAATTACTAGTTAATGATTCCCTAACTGCATTTGTATAATACTTTTTGGGATCGTTTCTCTCCTGTAGTAGGATAATTACTGTACATAGAGTGGTTGCAATGTAACTATCCCAAAGTTAATAATGGGTTCAGAAAAAATCCTGAAAATCCCATGAAACCTGAATACATCATTTCTGCCAATGTCAGTATTGGTGTAGATTAGTCATGTTGAACCACCAGTGTGAACACAGGACTATCAAGTCACTCTATTGTAACAGAAGAATGCAGAAAAGAAAGTGATTGGGATAACAAGGGCTAGAAGCTTCCGAATGAATTTATCCCTTGTTCAGTTTCTGACTGCACACTTTTAAGTTTCATCCTTGGATTTCCCCCCCCCCAATAAATTGGAGTATTATTCAAAATAGCTGCTAATGCTGCGCTGGCAACATTTGGCGTAGCCAGAGATCTCGAGAGCTCCCCCCCATGTGTGTATGTATGTGCATATATGTGTATATAATGTTATTCTTGGATTCTAGCTATTCACGTATAAGAAATGAAACTCTTTGTCAAATTTAGTCACTTGGCATCATTTATTGTCCCTTTTTGCTCTTATTATCTGTCGAAATATGTCAAATAATTAAATACATTTTTCGGGTTCCAAAAATCAAAAGACAGGTCTTTCAAAAACAGAAGTGCATATTCTTTAAAGAGTACAATAAGACTTTTTTATTTATATATATAAATATTTGTATATATACATATATATATATCATCTTTATTACAGGAAGTAAAATCTCATTGGTTGCTGGCCTTTTCTTTGGCTTGCTGGCTTGTTATGGAGCATATTGGGTAACGCATGATCCCAAAGATGTAAAGATATCATTATGTGAGTATCCTACTTCTTGAAAAGAGAAGGTACTTCTCTTTAGCATTTCATTATATATTGGAGTTATCAGAATAATTGGAAACTGAAAACTAGTTGCTGTCATATGCATTATTTGTAAGAACAGAACATGCAAGGTAAAAACTTATTGTTGTCTATAAATTGCATCGGTATTGAATTTAGTGTGGGAGGCCATGATGCAACCTTGAGGCTTGAGGGCACTCCCTCTGCCTTGCTAACTTGTTAGTCTTCCTAATTTTTTTTTTTTGAACTTTGATTTCCATTTTTAACTTGTACATTTTAACTGTGTCCTTAATTCTGTTTTTTACTGTGCTTTTAGTCATATGTTTATACCTGAGTCACTTGATTGAGATGGGAAGTTATGGAAATTGAATAAATAAATTAAATAGTTTTTATTTCATTGTTGTAAACTGCCCAGACTCACTCCCTCAGGTGAGATGAGCAGTGTAGAAATTAAAACAAATAAACAAATTTAGTTTTGAAGTGTAAGATTGAGATGGGAGGGTTGATCCATGTTCTTTAAGGATGAAGAAATAATAATTGGTGAGCCATCCTACTTGTGCAAGCCTGCGTGTATTGGAACTTTGAGGATTTCTCCATCATGTGCATGGAGCAAGCTTTGTAAAACCTGGAATTAAATGCTTTATCGTTCTCATCAAGTCTTGTTATTGGCTAGATTAGCTGGGATGATGGAATTTATAAATCCACATTTCTGAAGTCTCCCAGGTTGGAAACTAGGTTGTGCACTTTATGGATTCACTTTAGACACACTGGGTTGCCATTTAATTGAAGTCTGAATATGCATGTGACTTGGCCAAAATAGGTCTGGATCACACAACAAGATGTTTTAATTTAATCAAAACGCATTCTTTGAAAGATACACGAGCTATTTCTTGTTTCATTAGTGAAATTTTATGAGATATAGTTAGTTGCCAAACAGGTTGTATATTTAGGAAAATAATTATGGAAAAAGAGATCACTGTTGCTGAGATGGAAAGATAGAGGTTCATAATGGGCACAAAGACACAGTTTGTCTTGACCTCAGTATAATGATTTCTAATTATAAGATGGTGATGATGTAGAAAAAACTTTTTTTTAATATTATGACATTTGAGTGATTTTTTTTTTGTTTCAAGAGCTGTCTACTTAATTTGGAATAATTTTAATTTGTTGCCATCAATTATTATGAGAATATAGTTGAACCACAGTATAACATTTGCTAAAATAAACATCCTATATTTTTGCCTGCAGTCACAGCTTTTATACTTACCACTATAATGGGAGTGAGGTTTAAAAGGACCAAGAAACTAATGCCAGCTGGAATCATAGCAGGTCTCAGGTAAACTGTTTTCACTTGAAGATGCAATCCAAAGCTTACTTATCCAACCCCCAGTGACTATAGTGGATCATACTTGTGATTACAGTTGTGTACGATTGCATAGTGTATGATTTTAAATGCCGTAAAAGAGTTCCTGGATGTAAATGGGACTGATTAACATAGAATTAGTTTATAGATGAGTGGACACTTGTTGTCATCCAGCCCTAATTATGCTATTTCTGAATTTACATTCTAGAGTATTCTATGATTCTGCAGTCACACTGAAATAGGGATTGTGTGTGTGTGTGTGTGTGTGTGTAGAGAGAGAGAGAGAGAGAGAAGGGAGTTGAGGATTTGCTTTCAGGTATTCAAAATCAAAGACTTTAAATGCCGTCATTTCCAGGTAGATTCAATGCAACCTTAGATTATAGTGGTTGAGGCCCATAATATGTGAACTGCAGCAAGTGGAGAAGCCTGTTTTAAGGCATATCTGCAGTGGAGATGTACAACTTCCAACCTTTTTTGAGGATGAAATTTTACATACCCGTATTTTTCGCACCATAAGACACACCTGACCATAAGACGCACATAGTTTTTAGACGAGGAAAACAAGAAAAAAAATATTCTATCTAAAATGAAGATAACACTGCATATATCCTTTTTTACCTTTAATATATATATATGTGTGTGTGTGTATGTGTCTGTGTGTGTCTGTGTGTGTCTGTGTGTGTCTGTGTCTGTGTGTGTATATATAAAATAAAGGTAAAAAGATATACCGTATGCAGAGTTCTCTTCATTTTAGATGTCAAAAGGGTCTCTCTGTCTCTCTCTTTCTCTTCTCTTTCTCTTTCCTTTTTTCGTTCTTCTTTTTCTCACTTTCCTCTCCCCCTTTATCTTTCTCTCTCTTTCCTCTCTTTCCCTCTTTCCTCTTTTTCTCTTTCTCTGTCTCTCTTTCTCTTTTCCTCTTTCCTCTTTCCTTTCTCTTTCCTCTCTCTTTCTCTTCTCTTTCCTCTCTTTTCTCAATCTTTTTTCTCTTTCCTCTTTTTCTCTTTCCTCTCCCCCTTTCTTTCTCTTTCCTCTCTTTCTCTCTTTCCTCTCCCTTTCTCTCCCTCTTTCCTCTTTTTCTCTTTCCTCTCCCCCCTTTCCTCTCCCTTTCTCTCTTTCTCTTTCCTCTTTCTCTCTTTCCTCTCTCTTCTCTTTCCTCTTTTTCTCTTTCTCTTTCCTCTTTTTCTCTCTTTCNNCTCTGTCTCTTTCTCTTTCCCTCTTTCCTCTCTCTTTCTCTTTCCTCTTTCTCTCTTTCCTCTCTTTCTCTTCCTTTCCTCTTTCTCTCTTTCTCTCCCTCCCTCTCCCTCCAGGTTAGGAGAGAGAGAGAATGAAAGGCAGACGGCGCCGAACGGGCAGGGAAGGGGAGGGGGAGCAGGACGGGAGGCAGCGCCTCCCAGCCGCCGTCCCCATTGCCTCCTCGGACGAATGGGCGGGCATGGGGAGCAGGACGGGAGGCAGCGCCTCCCGGCCGCATCGCCTCCTCGGCTGAACGAGCGGGCATGGGGAGCAGGACGGGAGGCAGCGCCTCCCGGCCGCCGTCCCCATCACCTCGGCCGAACGAGCGGGCATGGGGAGCAGGACGGGAGGCAGCGCCTCCTCGGCGGGCATGGGGAGCAGGATGGGAGGCAGCGCCTCCCGGCCGCATCGCCTCCTCAGCCGAACGAGCGGGCATGGGGAGCAGGACGGGAGGCAGCGCCTCCCGGCCGCCGTCCCCATCACCTCCTCGGCCGCACGAGCGGGCATGGGGAGCAGGACGGGAGGCAGCGCCTCCTCGGCGGGCATGGGGAGCAGGACGGGAGGCAGCGCCTCCCGGCCACATCGCCGCCTCGGCAGAACGAGCAGGGATGGGGAGCAGGACGGGAGGCAGTGCCTCCCGGCCGCCGTCCCCATCTCCTCCTCGGCCGAACGAGCGGGCATGGGGAGCAGGCCGGGAGGCAGCGCCTCCCGGCCACCGTCCCCATCGCCTCCTCGGCCGAACGAGCGGGCATGGGAAGCAGGATGGGAGGCAGCGCCTCCTGGCCGCCGTCCCCATCACCGCCTCGGCCAAACGGGCGGGGAGGGGAAGCAGGACGGGAGGCAGCAGCTCCCGGCCGCCGTCCCCAACGCCTCCTCAGACGAACAGGCGGGCATGGGGAGCAGGACAGGAGCCGCTGCCCTCGCCGCATCCTCAGCCGAACGGCCGGGGAGGGGGAGCAAGACGGGAGGTAGCGGCTCCGCTGGCGGCCACTGCAGCATCGTCGGGGTCCCTGCCCCCGGCCCGGCCGCCACCCCTGCTGCATCCTCAGCCACTTCGCCGCCGCTAGAGGAGGGCTCCAAGGCCGGGTGCACCATGGGCGGCCGCGCCGGCAACGAGGAGTGCTGCCGCGGGGACAAGGGGGGGTCCTGATCGCTGCCAGGTCTCCTTCTCCTGCAGCACCGAGGACGGCGGCGGCTCCCCGAAAGTGGCCGAGGAAGGCGCCACCGGTGGGGCCGAGGTGGGGCCGGGTGGCGGAGAGCCGTGCGGCAGCCAGGCAAGCTTCATGCCTGACTGCTGTCCGGCCCGGTCTGGGGAGACATGTGGCTTGCTCGGCTTCCCGGGGAGCGATGCCCCCGCCAGCCCAGCCATGATTGCCGCCCGGCCCGGCCTGGGGAGACATGTGGCCTGCTCGGCTTCCCGGGAAGCGATGCCCCTGCCAGCCGCCGCCCCAGCAATTGCAAGGGCTTGCATGGTCCCCAAGGGACGCTGACGCGCTCCCCGCCGCCGGCGACCAAGCAAGCCCTTGCAACTGCTCCAGACGAAGAAGCAAGCGGCTGGGAGACCGCGGTGGCGCCTACCTCCTGCGCCCGTCAGCTGGCGTCAGCTGGCGCGGTGCGGTGGGAGGCGGCATTCGCTCCATAAGACGCACAGACATTTTCCCCCATCTTTTTTTTGGGGGGGGAAAGTGTGTCTTATGGTGCGAAAAATACGGTAGGTCCTTGGCCCTGTTGAAGCTCTCCATTCAGAGCGCTCTCTCTCTCTCTCTCTCTCTCTCTCTCTCTCTCTCTCTCTCTCTCTCTCTCTCTCTCTCTCTCTCTCTCTCTCTCTCTCTCTCTCTCTCTCTCTCTCTTTCTCTCTGTGTGCATACAACTCTGAATATAAAAATATAAAATTGTTCATGTCTTAATTGATCACTCATTTCTTAATTTTCTTCTTTTTTTAAATACAGCCTGGTGATGGTTGTGAGGCTTGTTTTCCGGCTCATATGAGAAAAGAGGCACTTTCAGATGTCCACGGAATCATTGAATTATGGATGTTCCTTCTGAAAGATCAGCCATTTTGGTTGTGATTATGATGACATAAAGGCAAGGTTATTCCAGATGGACTCAGAAATCCATTCATTCCTTAGGTGTGTGGGGTTGCATTCTTTAATGTTTTAAGTAACATTTTTTTGATTTATGTCTTTTTGAGACCAATGACTAACTTGGCCTTTTAATTATTATTTTAATTTGTGGGATAAATTTTCAATGTATGCTTTATTCTCCCTGGAATGAATAGAAGCCACAGGACTTTTAAAACTCAGGTTTGTCATATATGGTAGCATCTAATAAAGTCATACCCAGTCCTGGATGATGGTAATTTCATAGTTCAAGATTTGGAATAATACAAATTTATGTATATGGATTATATTGGATTTCTATCTTTGTAAGCCACCCAGAGTCACTGAGAGTGAGTTGGGTGACCATATAGATTTTCATAAATAAATAAAATAAATAAACCAAACAATAAATAAATATTATATTTCAGTTCCATTAAAATATTAATGAATTCTGTATTAATTTCTTATAATACTAAAAAATTAGCTCCAAAACAGGTCTTGCTTCTGTCTTGAAATGCAAACAAATACCATATTAAAAATAAAAACACTTTTAATATTTTGGATACAAACTCTCTTGTAAGATGTTGACTTTCAGTATTTCTTAAAGTGACTTGAATGAGGTGATTGACCGGAAAAAATGTTAAATTATTTTCATTCTTCTGTTCTCATTATCTGACCAAGCCAAAGGTTTGTTTAGCAGGAATCCCCCAAAATTGAGAGGTTCAAGTTCATCTATTTTAAACTGTTTTTATGAAAATAATGTCTATGGCCAAGGGATTTACTACAGGTAATCCTCCTGTTATTGCTGGTGTAGATATATGTACTTGCTTTTGTAGATACCAATGTACTTATTTTAAATCAGTGCTCACCATTCAGCAAAGACTATTTAACTTGTGGGTCAAGGCTGTGTTTGAGGGAAATACTAATTATGCTTACATTGGTTTGAACATATGTCATAAATATGTCATAAAACATATGACATATGTCATAAAAAAGGCCTGGAGGAACGTTGTCAATGGGGTCGCGATGGGTCAGACACGACTTCGCAACTAACAACAACAACATAAATTACAAAACATAATTGGCATAAATAAGGCTAATGACTCCATGTTGAGGTAGACTCTTGGTGAATATATGAACATATCAGTGTACTTTTCTTGCAACACTTAAATGATGAAGGGGTTGACCATCGCCTTAATGGTCAATGCCTTCTGGGATTTTTTTTTAAACTTCCCAGACTCTCTGAGAACCCTAATATTTCTTGGGGGATTCCCATCCAAACTGTAACCACATTTGCTGGTTTTAAGCCTTTTTTTTCAAGATCAGCCAAAGTCATCACAATGCTGCCACCTGCTGTGACTAGTATAAATAAATTAGTGAACTATATACAGAGATGACAAATGGTCGAATGATACCAACAAACACAGACATTGCCCTATTTGTGTCCCAAGAGGCTGTTTATAAGTCTATTTAATAAGTCCAGCAAACATAAAAATATGTGAACTACAGATCTTGCCTTGCATGGGTAGCAGTCTGGGGCTTTGGGTGGTGGCCAAAGGGGGCATGGAGGGAGGACAGGAGAAGTGGGAGGGAGTCGGTTTCTGGCATGCCTCTTTTGTATAGTAATAGCAATAACACTAAGACTTATATACCACTCCATAGTGCTTTACAGCATACTCTGCGCAGTTTATAGAGTCAGCATATTGACTCCCAACAATCTAGGTCCTCATTTTACAGACCTCAGAAAGATGGAAGGCTGAGTCCACCTTGAGCCAGGATTGAACTCTGGGCTGTGGGCAGAGTTTGCCTACAATGCTGCATTCTAACCACTGTGCCATCATGGCTCTTAATATATGTGGCATACTAGAAGCTGGCTCTATCCTATCTTCCCCACCGCAGGTTCACTGAACCAGTCAGATTCTGCTGTAATGCTACAACTTATGTGGAGTGAAAACTGTGCTGTATCTGTCCACAGTTCCAGCCTAGAGGGTCCCAAGGGTCAGGAGGGGACGGGTTTCTAGTATGTCACATGTGTTTTGCCAAAACAAACTTGTCCACTTCCCAACTCCCAGGTGCAGACTGGTTTGTTCACATCAGCAAAAGTTTGCAACTTGAAGGTTCGTTAGTAATGTCTGTAGACTAGAATGCATTGCTGTAAATCAGACATGTCAAACACAAGGCCCCGGGGCCGGATGCGGCCCGCGAAGTGGTTTCATGTGGCCCGCGAAGCCATCCTGGAAACAATGAGGGAACAGCCCCCTCTGACTTGGCCCTGGCCCAGGCCAGCCGGGAGCCAATGTACAATTTTGTGGTGGCCATCTATGCTGAAACACATTCAGTCTTAGCTCCACAAGGCCATCTGGAAACAGCGAGGAAACAGCCTCTGCCACGTCGGCTCCGCCCCCTGGGTTCATGCTAGGGAGGTATCACCCTTTGTGAGGAATGAAGAAGTGCATGATCGCCTGGAAGTGGCCAGCAAATGGCCCTCGCCTACTTCACATATCCGGCTTGATGGGCTCCGGGGGAGGGGTTTCGGCAGGCAGCGGGGCGCTCTCCTCACAGCGCCGAGAGGCTGAGCCAGGGGGTATGAATCCCAAAAGAAGCGCAACACCGCCCAACCCCCAGCCTGCCCGGTTGCGGCAGGCAGTGGGGCGTTCTCACAGCTGGGTGGCGCAAATCTGATGAGAAGTGCAATGCTGCCTAGTCCCCAGCCTGCCCAGTTTCAGCAGGGAGCAAGGTGCAAAGCTGGCGAGCTTCACGCCTCCTGTCTCAGCCTCTCCGTGCTGTGAGGAAAGCGCCCCGATGCCTGCCGATACCGGGCAGGCTGGGGGCTGGGCGTTGCCGTGCTTCTTTTCAGATTCACGCTGCTGGCTCAGCCTCTCGGTGCTGTGAGGAGAGCGCCTTGCTGCCTGCTGAAATCGGGCAGGCTGGGGACTGGGCAGCATTGCTCAGGTAATGTTGACTCTCACGCTGCTCATGGCATCCCCTCCCCCAGAGCCCACCAAGCCAGATATGTAAAGTAGGTGAGAGCCATGTGCTGGCCACTTCCAGGCGATGGTGCATTTGTTCATTCCTCACGAAGGGTGACACCTCCCCAGCTGCGTTTCTTGCCTGTTTTTCTCCCTCCCTCATCTCAAATATTTCCCACCACTCTATACTTAGGAAGGAAGGAAGGAAAGGAAGGAAGGAAAGAAGGAGAGGGAGGGTCTGAGGGAAGTCCTGCCTTGCTGCCCTTTCACCATCCCCTTGCCCCCTCTCCTGGCCTATCCTGGGCTCTCCCATCCTATTGCTAAGGAAGCTTTGGATACAAAGCCGGGTCTCTTCCCATGGAGAGGGAATGGGTCTCCCTCTGACTTTGCTCTTGTACCCATCATGAGCAACCTGGCTAAGGAGAGCAAGCACAGAAGCAGCAGCCTTGAGGAGGAGGTAAGTGCAGCTGGGCGCCTCCTTGGGGAAGTGGGTCTGGGCTTGGTGCCACAGGTGCTCAAGGGCCAGGCTGGGTGTTTGACCTCTGCTGCCCAGAGCTCCGGTCAGCTCGCACCACCATCCAGCCCCCCCAGATGGCCTGAGAGGAACAGTGAGGCTTCTCCACTGGACCATGCCTTGGCACTTGCCCTAGTCCCACCCCCTTCTGACAGAGACCCTCAGATCTGCCCCATTCCTGCCCAGGCCCCCACAGACACCCTTGCCACGAATGATGTAGAGCTGGCCACACCCACCTAGTAGGCCACACCCACTCCATCCACACCCACCCAGTAGGCCACACCCACTCCATCCACACCCACCCAGAAGGCCGCACCCACCCTGGTCACACCCACCTGGCCCCCTCAAGGGCAACCGCAATGCTGATGCGGCCCTCAATGAAATTGAGTTTGACACCCCTGTGTAACTCGACAGGATTAACTTCTATATAGACATGTGCAGAATTACATATTACATGGTAACAAAAGAGAAATTTATTGACTTCTTTTTCTTAAGTTATTACTACATAGTAACAACTACAGAGACAGGAGTTAATGACATCTGGGTGTTTTTAAAGGTATAAACTGCAATAACATCATATTCTGGGGTAAGATAGACTTTATTTGCTCATGTGAAAAAAAACACGATAATTTTAGATACAAGGCCTTAAAAATATTTTTCATGTAAATTACTTATTTTTTCCCTGTTTCCAAAGGATTATGATTATAAAAGTAAAAGGAATTGCAATTTTATTTAGTTTATCTTTCTAATAATAGGATCCTTTAAAATTAGCAATATATTGGGGAAAAACGTATGCTAGTAGAAATACGCCAGTATTTGAAAAACTCTTTAGAGATTGAATATTTTTTTTATTTGTGTAAGCAGGTTATCATCCAGTGGAGGTTTCCTTTGACTTCCAGGCTGCAAGTATTTCTTTATTGTAGGAATATTGCTTATTCTTGTTTTGAAAGCCTAGGAAAGACAGAGAAAATCCTCTCAGAAACAATGAAAAATAAGATATGAGTTTACAGCCTGAAAATGCTATATATTTCTAGATGCAAAATGAAAATGTAAAGCTAGCAATCATTATTGTTGAAGTACTAAAAGTTTTAAGTGCTAACAAAGTACAAAGTACTGCAAAGAAACATGACAATGGGTCAGGCCAGAAATCTTAATTTCAAAATGTTCTTCTGAAAAGTAAATGGAAATTAGCAGAAAAATGCACACTATTACAGTGTAAAAGCTTGAGGAACTGGTTGTCATTGCAGAACTATTGTGAGATTTGGTTTTCCTTTTCCCTCCTTCAAATCTATACAACAAAATTGGTAGATTATTAGTGTTCATATAATTCCTCTACAGAAACAAGATTCTTCAAATAAAGTTCATGCCTCACTAATTGAGTTTATATTGACTAAGAATCATGTACGACAGATAATATGTAGGTTTATGGTTCTCGATACTTTGTAATCTATCTCGGATGTTCTTGGTGGAAGACTCCCAAATCCTTTCCAGTATTTGGAAAAAAACTACCAATCTATTTCCATTCTTCCCTCTCTCACTCCCCCTTCTAGTCTTCCCTCTACACTCCTTTTTGCCCATCAAATCACCTGATGGTTGAGCAATTGGAAATAGCATTTAAATATTGAGCAATTTGGATAGGTTCAAACTGAAATCCAGGCTAAGCTGCAAAGAAAGAATCTGGCAAAGTATCAAAGAGCTGTGATACTTCATGACATGTGCAGTGAGCAGGTGAGGTTTTTAAAGGGAACTTTGTGTTATTAGATCTTTGATCTGTAACCAATAAGGTATATTTGTTAGCAACTTCAAAGAAACTTCAATTAGAGACAGTATTGATGAAAGGTGCCACAAGGTTCTTCTGCAGCTAGATTGGGGAGACCTATCAGTGTAGTGTCTGGTGAATCAGGTAATATGCACATTTAAGGAAAAACAAGAAAGCGCCCTTAAGCACCCTCATGAAACAGATTCAAAATCCTGATTGCACTTGGAAGAGATGGTGTTTTTTTCCCAAGCATGTGCCATGTATCAGCATGGGCAGTGATTAGAAATGCCTACATTTCAGAAAGGCTGAATATCATCCATATTTTATGGCTGAATATCATCCATATTAAGCAAAGGGATAGAAATTCATACTCATTCACTACATGAGATTACAGATATCAAAGCCATCATCATCATCATCATCATCATCATGGCATGCTGGTAACTGCAGTGGTTCTTTTAAAATAGTTCCCATCAGTGGCTGACAATCTAGTGTCTGCATTTACACTCTGTGAAAATACAGACTGCCTTATACTAAAGTCACATAGCTTGCCAATTCCCACAATTGTATTAGTGTCCTTACCTGCAGCAGAGGAAATTTAGTGAGAATATCAGACTTGAATTCTTCAAGCATTAAGATGGCTTCCAAGAGATGAACATCTGCCCAGCTAAACTTATTACCAACCAGAAAATTTTGCCCATGGTCTTTCAAAATCTACAATGTGAAGAAACCAAGATAAGATGAAGATATTTGGGGACTAAGATTGCAAAAGGCAAAGTGGAGACCTTCAAAGGTAAGCTTCCTTAGTACATGTCTAACAAATGCAATATTTGCAACAGGAGCAAAATAATTGCTTTGGTTACCGGTGGTATACAATGGATGGTTCCACACTCTTCAAAGGTAGTACTAGAGTCCAGTAACCATTGCTTGGAGAGAATTCTGATTGCAAGATATAAATTCAATAAATAAATTCAATAAATAAATTCTGCCTTGTCCATATTTACATCTTGGAAACATTTACTGGAGGGTATAAGTTCTGAGCCAATCTTCTCATGCTGGTAGGTTCCAGACAGACTGGGTTACAACCCCCATCATCCTTAACCAGTACAACCAGGGGGATTACGAATGCTTTAGTTCAACCCAACTGGAGGGAAATACATGGGGAAGACGAGTCCTAAAGCCCACGCCTCATTATTACTTACCTTCTCGTATACTGGAAAATATCTAGTTGTAGTTCTTTCAATAATCAAGGCGCTTTGCTTTTCTTTGTTTTCAGCAGGCTGCAGAGGAAGCGTCATCACCATTAACATCAGATCAGTGGTTCCTTCCACATACATGTCAATCCTGAAAGACATGGTCAAGGTGGAGAGAGAAAATATCTTTAAAATTAGATGCCACTGAACTGGGCCCCAAATGACTAGAGGGACACGTATATACTATCTTGATCCGTATAAAAAATATTTAAAATGAGTAGTTACTTTTAGGAGGGGAGGGAAGGCTATTTGAGAAATTTAAACCTGATAGAAGCTATTTCTACGCCCTTCTTAGTTAATGCGTGTAACCTAATGCCTGATTCCACTTTGCATGCATTAATTGCATTAAAGATTAGTCAGTTCAGTCAGTTAAAAGTCAGTTTCCTTTCATAGATTATCATTTATTAATGCATTAAAGCTGCATGAATAAATGGCAATCTATGGAAGGGAACTGACTGTTTTGGGGGGGAAAAGGGTTTAAAATATCTTCCACAACTGCTGTTCTATAAAACATATTTTTCTAAGATCACCGTGCAGGAGTGGAATTCACAACACTGCTGACCTTCAAATGAAACACTCCAGCCAATATGGCCAATATTGAAAGAAGCTGAATGTTTTAATTCATTAACACCAGGAAGACCATAAGTTCCTCATTCCTGCTTCAGAGGAAAGCTTTCAAAAACAAAGTCTTGCTACATGCACTTACAGCTTCCTTTTTAAATCATTGTTTTCCTACTCATTTTAACAATGTTAAAAAGCTACTTGTTCCAATCATTTGAAGTCCAAATGAAAGATTTTACCAGGCAGGCAAAATAATAATATCACTGGATCTGGATTGCAAAAACTGGAGTGACCAGCAGATGGGAGCAAACAGCTACAAAATAATCCATCTTTTTGCTACCATCTAGTGGTTGTTTGCAATACTGCAGTCCAGATCTGGCATCCAAAGCTAGTCTCTTGAATGCTGCATCTCAAATTGCATCTGTATTATATGTTATATTTCTGTTACAAGTTTATAATAAATTCAAGATTTTAATAAACATAGTCATAACCCCATACATTGCTCTCTCTTTCAAATCCTTCCCGTAGAGACTGTATTTTGCTGCAATATAGCTGAGAATGGCTCGTGTTTGCACCAGCTGCATCCCATCAATTTCCACCATGGGCACTTGCTGAAAAAGCAGCCGTCCATCTGGTAAAAGACAAACGAGAAGAAGAACAATTCAGAAAATAGAAATTCAATTCAAATGAAACTAAAAATGTTAATTGAATATTTCAAATTGATTTGACTGGCTATTTAATATGCGCTACAATTTTTTTAAAAAATCCCACGTTAAAAATGCAAGAATTATAGCCTCGGGATAGGCAGCACACCTTACCAGAGCACCATCCATGTATAACCAGGATAAAATTTAATTAATATGAATTAATTTCTAGGCTTCAACTCCCAGCAATTTTACGAACAATTTTGCTGGCTGAGGAAATCTAATGAAGTTCATCATAGGAAGGGCTCTTTTTCTGAGTGCCACCAAATCATTCATATTGATGATCCACACTGATGATCCAAGTCTACAGATAAGATATATGGAGTCCTCCTTGGGGCTAAGTAGTAGTAGTAGTAAAGAAAATATCCCTGTTTAAGATTGGATCTAGAAACACTCAAGCTGTCAACTTCCCAAACTCCCAATAAATCTTTGCAATTCAGATGATGCCATTCAATTCACCTCAAAGCAGGGTGCCTATAAACTCTTGCCCTGATGTCATCATAAAAATGGATAATAAATTTTATTGAAAATTTGCATCCAACTCACCACTGCGCAACTTCTCCAAATCTTCTTTCGTTTCTAAAAATTGTTCTTCAAACTGCAATGCAGAAATAAAATGAAATGCTTTTTCCTCATTTTATAAGGTCATTTTAGAGAAATTAGCTCACGCTTGGCACGTTTTTTGAAACATGTGTTAAGAAAAAAAAAAGCCAATGCAACAGAAGCTTCCTATTTGGGGGTAGAGGCTGATTCAAATTTTTTATGAAAAAGCCTTTGCAAAATGGCTGTTGAAAGAACCTTGTGCATTTGCAAAGAGGTTGCCACAGCTCCAGCTCCAGAAGGTCACAAATCCTTTAAGGTGACCTCAGTGCCTATCATTTCAGCTTTGCAATTTTCATGACCACAATTTGCTTTCCTTGCTTAGGAATATTTTCTTCAATTTCCTCATCTAGCATATGGTCATGAACATTCCTAGTGCCCTTTGATCCAAATTCTAATCAAATCAAGTCTGCTTAGCTTTTTGCAATCAAGCAAGGTCAGCTAAACACAGCAAAAGGCTTTACAAGCATATTACCTGAAAAGGTAATCAGCTTTGTAATTTTAATTCCGTTGCAAAACATGGCTTCGATGGGAAACCACTCTAATCCCCCTCCTGGATTCTGACTTCATTGTCCAAACAGGTATATCAACCTTCCCAAAACCCGTATTGCATATCAGCTCTTTTTTTCTTTTTCTTTTTTGCACTTCAAGTGCATTAAATTCACCCATCCAGAGCCTCTCTAAGAGTTTGAAAAATCTGTTTCACAAGAGAAAAGAAAGGGATCCCTGTCACCCAAGGGGAAAAAATATTCTTTGAATGCTTTGATTCTTCCACCTGCGGGCGTATCAACCCATCCATTTTGTGAAGAATCTGTTGCAAGGGTGAATCATTGGTCAATCTCTGATGCTGTTATTACAAGATCATTTTTGAGATGCCAGCCAGAGCCCTAGCTGAATTTTGTGCCGTAGGCTTGCAACAAGCATGATAAAACAGACCTCAACTCCAGCTGCTGCAAGTAACCAGCGGATAGATTCCATTTTTCCTCTTCCTCGAGTGTAGTGCAGTTTGGGTTTCCCGGCCATCTTTTTGGAAATTCTTCAGACTCTCAAGCACAGTAGATTAGGAAGATGGACTTTGTGGATGTCCTAAAATAGAAGTGGAAGAGGAACCATCATGAACCCAGAAGTAACTGCTTTTGCCACAGAAGCAATGAAACACAGTCCATAGCATATACTGAGCTGAACTTGTGGACTGTGTCTTCTTCTTCAAGAAGACCAGGCTGTCACTTAATGGTTGGGTTCCCATCTTAAGCAGAATTCAATAGATCTAATTTTCCTCAGTGTCACCAGTAGCTGGAAAACTTTGTATTCTTAACTTTCTACTGGCCAGCTCCTATTCAACAATAAAGAAGCCTTGCTAAACAAAAAACAAAAAACAAAAACCCTACACCCCATTTGAGAAGATGGCTTTAGAAAAGTCAGAACTACTCTTTGAAGTATCAGCATCTAGCTTGAGAGTTAAGAAAGCTACAACTCCAATTATGGCTCCGTTATGGCTCAATTTTAAACCAGCATATCTCATCCATCTCAAAGCAATCTGTTTCAGCTTAGATATATCCCCCCAAAATTCACGAACTCCAGACAAGTCTTTAAGCAATTGTTGTTCATTCCCTTACAATCCCAAAAGTGTCTAATATAATAGTATACATTGCAGGGCATGAATTTACCTGCAGTCACTGCCAGATGAGTCTAGCACAAATGTCCACGTAGATAACTCTGCTTATTGTAGCAGGCACTGTAATTGCCAGAAGAAGCAATCAAAAGCACTCACCAGGTGTAGCTTCTCTGCTGCTCTGAGAAATGACCCCCCAAATCAGCAAGGAGTCTGCAGTCGTGCCTGCTTTTGTACAACAATTCTTTTTGGGAGGGGGTGGGAGCAGGCGGATTTAAGCCAGTTTTTAAAATATGCTTAGTCACACTATATCAGTCTTCAAGGATAAAGGGATCAGAATTAATTTGTGAACTAAATTTTGCAACAATTTAAAAAGAAAAAAACCAGACAGAGCAAATGATTAACCGCATTTAGAGCTGGCGAAAGAAGGCCACTATCAGGGCCATTCCTCCGCTATGCCACAGATAGACCATTCAGCAGGAATACTGTAGTTTCTTTCACACAAGGAAAAGATGTATCAGTTGCATTTCATGCAGCTGATAGAGGGGGGGGGGAAATATTCACCAGCCTTTGGGCCCAGCTTAGCTCCAGTCCTGACAAATTTCATTCACACAGTTGTCTTGATTAAAAGGTGGCTCTGCTAACTGACTTGGGGCCCTTTCTGGAATAACGAGTAGATTAGATAAAACCCTATCTCCACCCTGTTTACGCACTTGGATCCTTTCACCTAGCTGTTTATTGATGTTAATCTTTTAATACTTAACATTTTAATATTTATAACTTTTAATTGTCTTTATTGTTATTTATGATACTATAAGCTGCTCAGAGTTGGTTGACAGGGAGCAAATAAATTTAGTAAATAAATGAATAATAATACAAAAAATGGCCTGCTATTTCTTTCTTCCAGAATATAATTTCAAGCCCTAAAGCACAGATCTTCCAAAGTGGTCTCTGACTGAAGCACAAACCAATCTTTTCTCTCTTTAGCTTTCTAGATAAGCCAAGATGACTTAAATGCCTGGTGAGGCTAATCCAGTGGTTCTCAACCTTTTTAATGCCGTGACCCCAACCGGTCGTAAGTTGCGGACTAAACCGGTCGTAAGTCGAGGACTAAACCGGTCATAAGTCGAGGACTAAACTGGTCGTAAGTCGAGGACTACCCAACCGGTCATAAGTCGAGGACTTTCCCTGCCCGGGAGCGCGCGCATGCGTGGTTCCGCCCCCTGCGCTGGCCGAGGCATAGCTGGCAAGCAGCAGAGACGGAGCAGGCCGACCACCAGCTGGCCCAGCCCAAGGGAGGTAAGGCACCCGCCAGAAAAGGGGAAAAAATGGCGGACAAAAAAATGGCGGACAAAAAAAATGGCGGACAGCCTTGCTTGGCGACCCCCATGAAATGGTCGATCGACCCCAAATGGGGTCCCGACCCACAGGTTGAGAACCACTGGGCTAACCAATCAATTATAGAGTTGCTAATTAATCAGACAAAGCAGCAGAGCTGTATTCTTGCTCTTCAAAGAACTGCTTGATATGGATGAACCGAGAAGCAAATTGCTTTATATCACACAAGCAAATACTAAGGGATGTCTAATAATCTCTCAGTTCAAGAAATGTGTGTGGAGGGCACACAATTGTGCCTCTGATCAATTAGGGGAATCCAAGTTACACCCCTCCCCTGTTGTCATGCACACAAAGGAAAAAGAGATTGAAGACAGTATAGGTGGGTCTCCTCTTACAACAGTTCATTTAGTGACTGTTTGAAGTTACAACAGCACTGAGGAAAGTGACTTATGACCGTTTTTCACACGACCATTGCAGCATCTCCATGGTAATGTGATCAAAATGTGGATGTCTGGCAACAGACTCATATTTATAACGGTTGCAGTGTTCCAAGTCATGTGATCACCTTTTGCAACCTTCTGACAAGCAAAGTCAATGGGGAAGCCAGATTCACTTAACAACCGTGTTACTTGAGAGGCATCTTTTTCACCATATACCCAACAAATGCAAAATGATTTTGCCAATCAGAGAGACATTTGATAGTGGGTATAGCCACTGGATAAAAGTTCACTGGAGGAGCCCACACAGGCCATCACCCACCCATCCATGCCCATTAGGGAAATGTATCTGGGATCTGAATGCCATATTGAGGCCAAAGCAAAACTGCTAATTATGAAGGGCTGACAGTTCATCAGGCTGTAAGAAAAGCCGAGTTCCAAATTATCCCTTGTGAATGTTTGATGACCTGCTTAAAGATTCCAAACTAACAGTTCAGGAATTCATCCTGCTTCCAGTAGGATACATGGTGAAGTAAATGTCTTCAAAGGAGTGGAGACACGTGATCAGTGCCTAGATGGTGTTTTCTGACTGGCCAATCCAGATAAAGGAGATTATCCGGATAAAGGAGGGTGTGAGAGGATCTGAGATTGCCCACTTGCATTCTGGACAGCTGCTCCTCATGAATAAGCAGCAGGAATTGAGGGTTCTGCAGTCAGATTGTTAGTTGAATACCTCAGAGTTGAGCAAATTCCATCAAGCTCAGAATGGCAATGTATCCCTTATAGGTACAGTGCCAAACTCATTTCTTAATCACTTTGGGAAAGTGGATCTTAGCAGCTTTTCAGCTATTAAGAATCTTACAATGGACAAGTCTGATAACATGCACTGGGTGACTTCAATCCTTAGCAGAAAAAAAAAGTTCTAAAGAATTTAAGGAGAAGAAAAAGACAAACACCCTCCCCTCCCTCTTTTTTGGAATAAACAGCAACAGGATGACTAAAATATTGACTCTGACCCCTGAAGAGGCCTGAAGTAGCTTCAGAGGAACATTTAATCCCCCCCAGCATTGCCAAGAAAAATTCCACATGTGGTTAATTTTTTTAGAGTGTAAACTCTAGATTCATATATAACAGTGCATAACAGTGATCAAAATTCAGACGTTTGGCAACTGACTCATATTTAGGATGGTCGCAGTGTGTCCCGGGGTCATGTGATCCCCTTTTGTGAGCTTCTGCCAAGCAAAGTCAATGGAGAAGCCAGATTCACTTAACAATCGTATTACTAACTTAACAAATACAGTGATTGACTTAACAGCTGTTGCAAGAAAGGTCGTAAAATGGGGCAAAACTGTCTTAGCAATTGTCTCCCTTAGCAACAGAAAACTTGGGCTCAGTTGTGGTCGTACGTCAAGGACTACCGTATAGGAGCATTAACAAGCCACTCCCAGTGGCTACTAGGAATGGAATTGATAAGAAATCAAAGGGGAAAGAAAGGGAAAGGTTTAAAAAGACTTGCTAGTCTGTCCTGCAGTTTCTTGGAGAGTCTTTTCTTAAAGAATGAATGGAAAGAGATGAGCCAAGAGTTAAATTCTTCTGCTAAATTCCTCCTAAGTCAATGTTTAAAGTATTGCATTAGCAAAAATTGGGTTTAACTTAGAGGTTGCCAGCTGTCCGCCCCCTTCCAAAGGACAATCCGTGTCATCTGGTACACCTGGTTGACTTTTTGCAATCAGTGAACCAATTAACCAGCCTGAATATGGACTTTGAACAGTTCACTGCACATCAGACAGCAAAGGGTAACTCTTGTCTTTAATATAGCAACATGAAGAAGGCCTCACAGCCCTGCCTTCTGCATATTGACTTAGAAGAATCCTGCTCCACAGTGTTTAAAGACTTTCTCTTCTGTTTGAAAAGAGTTTTCAGTGAAGAGGTTATTAGCAGCCTGTCAGAATGAAGGCATCAAAACAGTGGTGGGATTTAGCCGGTTTGCACCAGTTCGGCAGAACCAGTAGCTAATTTTTTATTGCCCTGGCCCAGAACGGACTTCTGGAAACGGCATCCACACAGAGAACCGGTTGCTCACATATTTGAATCCCACCACTGCATCAAAAGCTTTCCCTTAGATCTGCCAGATCTTTATCTGTTGAACTGATATCTGTCACAAAGTACAGTTTCACCACCCTTCAGTTGTTTCTAAAATCCATACGGCTGCTTACAGAGTCTTGGCAGCGAACAGCAATGACCACAAATATCAGTCAGGTAAATTTGTGTTGTGCCAGCAAGTTCCTTCATCAGATTGCCTTTTTTTTTTACACTTCTCAATTAATTAATTATCTGTGTCAGTTCCCCGACAGCTTGTCTCGTAGGACTCTTTTATTTTAAAAATCCAAAAATTGCTTGCCAAATGTATTTCATACAGCCATCTCCTCCTCCTCCTCCTCCTCCTCCCAGCCAATTTTCAGATACTAAGAAAAGAAAGCTTTAATGCCTTTCAGATCTGCCCTTTGTCCCTTTCCAAGTCTGCTTTTGCTTACTTTTTCAATTGGAGTTCATCTCTCTCTCCCCACCCCACCTTTCCTAGTCCATGTCTCCCTTTCCCTAACCAATATTGGCAAGATTACAAAGTATAAAAAATG